TATGCTTGAATCATGCCTCCTATGAGAAGAACAAACATTGGACGGCGTACACGTAATGCAAGAAAGATTAATGAATTTAGACGTGCCCATAATACTCAGGCCAGCGCTGCACAAACGCCGAGAGTTGCGTTGCATAACGACCCATCGGCTGCCGAATTCTCGAGACAACTGCCGATTCCGATTGATGTTTTGACTGGATTAATATCGTTTCCGGCAAATTTTTGTGAGTTCACATCGTCGAAGGAAGAACTCATTACAAAAGTGTTCCCAAACATTGATGTCAATTATAACAATCTCGATTGGATGAGTGAACGGGCAATACTAGCAGCGAGGAATAAGGACGTCGATAGCTTGAATTTTACAATTCAGTGTAAAATTGCTGGAGAACTGCGTTCATACAAATCCGTTGACAGCACGACCGACGAAAACGAAGCGGTCAATTATCCGACAGAATTTTTGAACTCGCTTGATGTGCCCGGAACTCCACCGCATAATTTACAGGTAAAAGTGGGATCGATCATAATTATATTGCGGAATCTAAATCCTCCTAAATTGTGTAATGGTACACGATTGTCCGTTAAGAAACTGATGAACAATGTAATACAATCAACGATCATCAAGGGCAATCGTTGGAAGTCTGTGGGATCAATTTGGAATTTCCATGTTTTTCGCACGGACAGCTGTACGTTGCCAGTTCGCGTGTTGGAAAACCGGCTTCGTTGTTTATTTTTGCACCAGAAAACTAAACGAAAAACATTGTTTATCAAAATGCATTATATTGATTTCTGTAACAATTCATTACAATGGAATACTTTAATTTTATTATCAATATATACTTTATTTGAAGACGTATCAGAATTTTTATTCAGGGCAACGGAAGAGTTAGGTAAGATTAATATTGAAACCATACGCCGAATATTTTTATTTTTTTATTTTTTTTTACAAGATATTTACAATCTATTCATACATAGAATAATAAGCAAATTAGATAAGAGTATTAAAAACATGAGTAATATGACGGAAGAAGCCACCCAATGATGACACTACCTATTTTGTTTAGAGTTTAGGAGGATTTTAACTAGAATTCAAGCGTATAGCAGGTCACGACACCAATTACGTTTGAGACGTCTGACAGGGTTACCCGGAATCGAAGGGACTGCTAGATTTTTTATGAGAGGGTTAGGATGATTAAGTAACCTACTGTGAAACCGCTTATAGTAGAGTTTTACGCCGAATATGAACGAATATAACGAATTGAACAAGGTTTGAGTCACATATAGTTGGTACACTTAATGGGCAACGAAGTGCACGGGTTCAGCTATAGATAGAATTATGTTATAGATTATAGATCAATTTTTTTTTACACCATGTATATATATAAATGGAGACAAAAAATTCGAAATTGCATCAGTTGAGAACGGCTGGGCCGATTTTGCTCAAATTTTTTTTAAGATGTTCGTAATTGCCAGGTGAAGGTTTTTACGAAAGAAAATTTTTAAAAAGTCAACCGAATAATTAGAAAAACTGCAAAAACTATTTATTGATGTCTGGGATTTGAACTCGATACTGTTGTCTTTATTTACTCTATTGTGTATTATATTATATTGGTTGCTATTGGTTAATCGGGCATGTTTGTTGATTTGTATTATTATTTTTTGTAAATATATCTTATATATAAATGAATGAAGGGGTGTAGATTAGACCTATGGGAAGAAGATACGCTAATTTAAAAAGGGTTAAATTTGGTTTTTTTTATTCATCGGATTTTAGTACGGTTAGGACAGGTTAGGATTTATAGGTAGGTGGAATTAAGTAAAAACGTCAAACTTGGTATAACTTTGGAACTTTTTGAGTTAAATCATACACTTACGTACAAACAGCACGGGGTCCGCGATCTACCGTAGGTAAATTACCTATCTGATAATGTACTGCTGCAATTCAGAATTTTTATTCCGGGCAACAGAAAAGTTAAGATAAATCTAGAACATCAACACCGAATATTAAATAACGCATTGAACAATGTTTGAGTCATATAGAGTTGGTACATTTAACGGGAAACGAAGTGCACGGGATCAGCTAGTATATTATAAAAATAGATAAACGTATAAATATTATATAGGTAATAATATTGTTCAACTATATGTTTTTACTATGATGACTTATAGGTAATTGTTCGTAGGTGCCTACCACAATTACGAATTATGATAATATAATTTTCTACAATATTGTAATAATTAACATTAATTATATACTTTAAGAGGACGCTACACCCGCATGTGTTGTCTCCGTCTTACACACGTACGACATAGACAAAACGCGTTTAGGCAGTCTGAGTATAACTCGCTCAATTTTGGTTCTAGAGTAAAAATACCTATTATGAAATTGAATTGTGATAATATTTCTAAGGGCAAGACGCTGCGGTTTTTTTTAAAAAATTTAATTTTTTAAAAGTCAAAGGTATTTTAAAAATGGTGAAATTTTTTCTATTTCTAAACGATATAATGAACGTTATATTGGGTATAATGGAAAAACCGCAGCGTCTTGCCCTTAGAAATATAATCGCAATTCAATTTCATAATAGGCATTTTTACTCTAGAACCAAAATTGAGCGAGTTATACTCAGACTGCCTAAACACGTTTTGTCTATGTCGTACGTGTGTAAGACGGAGACAACACATGCGGGTGTAGCGTCCTCTTAAGGTTTTTAGATGGAATAAACAAAAATTATGACGATAAGCATTATTAATAACATTTTAACATATTTTTTTTCCTTGGGGGAGGGGGGGGGTATTGAATTTTTTTAGGCGCCTTAGCCTCTAAACCCCTTCTTCATATTGGCGCATATGGGCATAATTATTAATATAATATGGATAATTCCAGAATTTAAACTTTCTGGGTTTTAATTTTCTGGAAAATTATGGTCTACGGTATCACTTTCTGTAAAACTACGTTCTGTGATAATAATTTCAGGCTTTAAGCTTTATGGAATTTAATTTTCTGGAAAATTATGGTCTACGTTATCAATTTCTGTAAAACTACGTTCTGTGATTGTAGTTTCAGGTTTTCAACTTTCTGGGATTATATTTCTGGAACATATTTTACGTTCATTTTATATTCAATATGAAATCAATTCTGGAACATTAATTTTCAATTATTTATTTTTCTGTAATTTTGCTTTCTATAATTTTTATTTTCTGTCATTTTATTTTTCTGTTAAATTTAATTTCTGGATTACTAACGTTCTGTTCATTTATTATCTGGGAAATTATGCGTGCCCATTTTGATATATTATTTTTTTTTCCCGCTATTTTCATAAAGCTGGTTATTTTGGTTTTGAACACAAGCGTATTTAAAACTTTTATTTCTTACGTAAACCTTATAAAGTTGTATTTTTCTGATAAATCAGATTGTGTCGAATGGTTATATGTAACTTTTGTCACAGTACTATGGTTTTTTTTTTTTTAATAATTTTTAACATAATTATAATGTGACTATCCAAAATATCGTCATTTTTACGCCATTATTCGGTTTTAGGGACTAAATGTAGTGGAAAACTATAATTCCCAACTAAACTCTATGAATTTATATTTTTCTGATAGATAATATCACACTGAATCTTTATATGTACAAAACTTACCTTAACTTCAAATATTTTTCAAGAAATAACGATTTGAACGTAAATATTTGGAATTTTTCATCATTTTAGCAGGTTATTTTGTGTTTGAACATAATAGGTTAATTTTCCTTTATTTTTTACCTAAACTTTATCAAGTTGTATTTTTCTGATAAACCAGGTCATGACGATTAAGAAAATATAACTTTTGTCATAGTACGATAGATATTTTTTTCCTAAATTACTTCGAAAAAATGTATATTGTGATAATCCTAAATATCGTAATTACAGTGGTTTCTTTTTTGAACATAAGTCTATTTACCCTTTAATTTTTACCCAAATTTTATGAAGTTATATTTTCCTGATAGACCGATTTGTGACGGAAAAATAAATATAAAATTCGTCAGTGTTCTATATTTATTTTATTTTTTTAATTACTACGAAAAAATATTTTTTATGACCAACCAAAATATCGTAATTTTCACCCCATTTTTCTGTCTTAGGGTTGATAAAAATTTTCCAACGGTAAAATATGAGTAAGAATACCGTTCTGAACATTTAAAAAAAAAAATCAAGTCGATATGTGCAATATTAAAGAAAATAGGTTTTCATAGATTTTCGTTAAGCGTACAGGCTGCTTACACATTGTAAATATTTGGAATTTTTTCATCATTTTAGCAAGTTATTTTGTGTTTGAACATAATAGGTTAATTACTCAGGTCATAGACTTGGGAAAAATATTTAAGTTTTTATAGCGTTATGTTCAAAAAGTAGATGGTAAAATTACCGTTTATTAGTAAAATCTACCGTTTTTGTATGTTCAAAAAATGATTTCTTCCAAAATATTTTAAGTACCTACATACGCACATTGCACATAATAATTTAATAGCAAAATGTCTGAAGTATAAATTATAACACATAGGCTACAAATCATCTCCCTAGTTCCAACCAGAGGATGTGCTCAAACGGGGATTTAGAGATTTACCGCAGGTAGATTGCCTACCTGATAATGTACTGCACCGAATTAGAATTTTTATTCCGGGCAACGGAAAAGTTAAGATTAATAATTTTGAAACCATACACTGAATATTAAATAACGAATTGAATAAAGTTTGAGTCACATAGAGTTGGTACACTTAATGGACAACGAAGTGCACGGGTTCAGCTAGTATTATATAAATTAAATATTATAATATTACATAAACCATAGAAACCCAGTCATGCATGATATTTCTTCCTTGACCATCCCCGGAAATCCTCCTAAACGGCTAAAGCGCAAATGGTGTAGAAACCTGCTGACTAATTAAATTTCTTTAATACAAAGTATTGAATTTGCAAAGAACTCTCATACGTTTGGAAACTATTTTCAACTTTTATTTGTGTTAATTTATTTATTTAGGGTTATAACATTTAGGGTTTTACAACACAATAATGACATTTCTATACCAATGCAGAATATAAGTAACAAACAACAAGCAATCATTACGTATAAAATGGTAGTAATGTCTATAGCATTTGGAGAAATAACATTTGTTTTTAAATTAATTGGCGTTTTTAATTTATCAGCAGTTGTTATGTTTGTTACTACAACAACTTCTAAAGAATTCATCCCTGGACCATTTTGATTGTATGCCACTACCCAAATTGAATACTTGGTATATGGACTTAAATCAGTTATTTCATGTTCTGTATGTTTAGTTATAAAAAATTGTTCTTCAGGAGTGGAATCCTGAAAAATTAAAATAATTATAACAAATAAGTTATTATAAATACGGTTGGTGTTCATAATAAACTACTTACCTTCTTATAAAATAATTTGTACTCTTTCAAACTTTTACTGCCATGTTCTGGTCTTGACCAAGAGACAAGTATTGATGAAGGTGAAACTGCTTTGGCAGACGCATTGAACGGCTGTCCAGGTAAATTAATTTCTGCCTTAGTCATGACTTTCAGACGTGGCGAACTTTATTCGTTACTTGTTATATAATGCTTATCAGGTATTAATCCATTAATAGTTATATCAGTTTTTGAAGAGTTTGTCGAATTTTCTCTGCAAGATTTAACATTTAATTGATTGATTTAAAATTTAAAAAAACGTATACAAAGTTTAACATAACATTAATGAATAATTAATTAACCTGTTAGATTCTTGCTCTTGGTTAGTCGTTAGTTGTTCCTTCACAACGTTTAAAAATGCTGATGAATGAGTATTTCCAGCAGAGTTTGATGATAAACATTGGAATATTCCAGAATCTGCTGTCATTAACTCAGAAATGTTTAAATTGGTCCTATATAACATGTATCCAACAGTCAATAGACTTGTTATATTCATTAAATATAATGAATATTATTTTCAGTGATATTATAACATTTATTTATTTAATCAGGGAATATAACAATGTGGCTGTCTAAAAAATCTTTTGATGAGTAATTCATTTGTCATAATTAATCATCAAACTAAGATTATTTAAACATTGTATATTTTTATAAAATATAATAAGATATATAATTACTCACCCATTAACAAATTTAAAGTTATCACTTTGCTTAATTTGTTCACCATTTTTGAGCCAAATAACACGCGGTGGAGGTTTACCAACTACCTCACATTCTAAGGTTATGTCTTCTTTTTCAAGTACCATCGTATCTTTGGGCTTACGAATAATTAGTGGTTTAACTATAATTATAAAAAAAGAATTAATAATTATTATAATATAGCTGATCCCGTGCACTTCGTCGCCCGTTAAATGGATCAACTCAATACTACCTACTCAAACTTTGTTCAATTCATTATTCAATATTCGGTGTATGGTGTTCAAAATTTATCTTATCTTTCCCGTTGCCCTGAATAAAAATTCTGAATCGCAGCAGTACATTATCAGGTAGGCAATCTACCTGCGGTAGATCGCGGACCCCGTGCTGTTTGTACGGAAGTGTATGATTTAACTCTAAAGTATCAAAGTTATACCAAGTTTATTTTGATGTAATACTGTGGATTAATATAATAAATTTGGTTGCTCGTAAAAAATCGCAACTCTTAAAAAAATTATGATTGTTGAACTCCTTTTGGGTGTAATTTTCTGCGGTAAGTGCAACTCTGCCACCCTGGTAAGCATTGTTCAATAATTCGATTTGATGCAAGCTTGTACCTGATCTGCCCGAATAACCAATGGCAACCAATAAATAAATGCTAATTTCTAATGTAGACTGTAACCAATGGCAACTATAAATAAATAAAAATAAAATTTCCAATTTCTATCGTGAATCTCAATGTCCCTGTTTCAGCACCTATTTAAAATGCGAATTTTGGCAAATCCTTTCTTAGCGCACGTCTATATTATAATAGCTATCTGTATGCCAAATTTCAGCCAGATCCGTCCAATGGTTTGAGCTGTGCGTTGATAGCAGTCAATCAGCTTACTGTTTTTTATATACAGATATGGTTGCCATGGTAATATGGACACACACACACACACACACACACACTGACATACATTCATTTTTATATATATAGATTGATATGAAATCTTGGTAACCTTAGTAACCATGGCAACCTTGGTAACCATGGTAACATGGACACACAGACACACAGACACACTGACACACTGACATACATTCATTTTTATATATATAGATTATAAATTATACATTTTTATAATATTTTAACTTTCCAGCACCATACTATGTCCTGATAATCTTATACATATCAAAAATCAATACATTTATTTTTTTCTGAAAAAATTATTCTGAAATATTAAAATTAATAATATTATTAATATTCGAGGAATACCTGTGACCGCTGATAAGATAACAATTAAATAACAGTTAAATATTAGTTTAACAATTAAATGCAACAGTGCGCCAGCCAGAAGCTTAAGGTCATTATTTATTTTTTGGGCATTTTTAGGTCATTAAAATCCTAGCCCTAGTTATAAGGAATCACTTCTAAAATTTATTTAATAATTTCAGAGAAACTTTTAAAATTTATTGATTTAATAATGTTATTCAGATTGTTACTATTGGATTATTTGGGATACTCACCATGAACTTCTAGAGTTACCGAAGTGTCAGCAGAACCTTCGTGATTTTCTGCTCGACAAATATAAATCCCATCATCATTTTTATTAACTTGTGTTATTAGTAATCCACCAGTACCAATTATGCTAAATCGTGTACCCAAATGTCTATGACAAAAAAATAACTGTTGTATAAAGAATATAAAACTTTTGATAGATTCAGGTCTGAGGAGTAGCAAAAAAGATGGTCTATGTACTATTTATACATTTATATACTTACGCTACATCAATTAGTGTACCATATTTTGACCATGACATTTGTGGTCGTGGATTTCCGACAGCTGCACAATCTAAATATACATTTGATCCTTCCAGAGCTATTGTCGAATGAGGTATATGGTCGAAAGGAATAGGTAATGAGCAACAAATTCTAAAGATTTTAATCTTTTAATAGTATCTACACAAAGAAAAAATACAATTTCAATTACATTTTGAGTTATAATTTTTTATAAATGTAAAAGTTGAGGTATAATTTGTAAATAACGGCTGCACCAAAATCACTTTCAGCTACACATTGATATGCTTCTAAACCTTCGGAAATATCTTTTTAGTTGTTATTGAATACATTTTTGATTAGCAAAGACCCATTTTTCAAAAGAGATCTAAAATATAAGAACCAGTGTTTTTATGGAGTAAAATAAACTTATTAAAAATACAATTTTGGCATTGTAAACTAAACAAAACTATTCTAGGACAATTTACCTTCTTGTATCTCCAATGAAATCAAGGTTCTGTCCATCAAGAGTCCATCTATATTGTGGAATTTTACCAGAACTATTTAAATTTGCTTTACAATTGTTATGGATTAGTATTATTAAACATAGGAAATAAGTAAGGATGTAGCAGTATTTGTAAAACATTTAGAATTATGAAATAAAATGATTATTGTAAATTAGTGTAAACAGGCACAATCCCGAAAACTGCAAGTAAGCACTTTTATATAGGAGGGATTGTCCTAGATAAGTTTAGATATAAGGAACGTTAAGATGGTAAGACAGGGAGTGGAGAATGGAGAGTGCCATTGTCTGCATATGTTCAGAACGCAATAAACTTTATTAATTGAATATTAAACGTGTGTGTGTTACCTTATTTACTAAATCTACCTACAAACTCTACAAGTACGAGGCTACGGTCAACCGACCTAGGGAACCTAGGTTCACTGGAATTTTCAATGTTAAATGGTCTCATTTCAACCATTATTTTATTATTGTGGTAGGTATATATGATATATGTATAATATTTTGGTAGTAATAACATTTTGAACAAAAAAAAACCGTTGATTTTACAAATATCACATAATTTTACCAATCATTTTTTGAACATATGGCTCTAAAAACTTTTGTTTTTGTCACAGTACTATGGTTATTTTATTTTAAATGATTTTTAACAAAAATATATTATGACTATCCAAAATATCGTAATTTTAGCTAGAATCTAAATTATACATCTTATTATAATGAGCTGTTTGTGGTGAGATCTTATCATGAATTATTAAACTATCCAAGCGTCCCAGGTTCAAACCCAACCTCGGTCTCTTACTTTTTTACAAACAACACACTATTGAAAGTATGGATTTGGGTTTTCTTTTCTGCACTTCGTTTCGGCATGATGATGAACTTAATAAAAAAAAAAAAAACCTAAAACGTTTGATTCATAGGTACCTATCTTATAATATTATTTTTTTTTTCATGTTTAAAAACATGATTCGTTCAATAATCAAAATTCTGATTAGTCATGTTAGTTGCACTACAACAATGAACTTTTCTCAACAGAGTTATTATATTAATTTAAAGCTATATTATGTATTTGGATATCTCATACCGTCATCGATAAACAATAATGATAATAATTGATAAAAATTTTCTTGGTAAATAGGTAGCCACTAGCCAGTAGGGTACTAATAATTATTAACATTATTTTTGTATAGTTAAATAATTATAAACTATAAAATATAATAGCCGTTAAGTAGAAGCTTTTTACAGGCAAGCTTTTTACAAGCTTTTCCTCGTTCGACTTTGGAACTCGACTTTCGCTTTGGAAGGATCAATTGTGATTTTAGATTGTACAGCTGTTGGAAATCCACGACCACAAATGTCTTGGTCACACCAGCGATAAGCGATTACAAGTCAATCGATTTTTTTATAATTATTCAAAGTAGCAACCTACTAAGGAGAAAATATTTCCCGTCAATTGATATCTGAGAAACTATTTTTTAAATTAATATCCATAAAAATGTACTAATTTTGGTTGAATAAATTCATTTTTACTAAAAGTATATTTTTTAGAAAGCACAACTCCAGATACAATTATAGTTGCTTCTATTTCGCACATAATATAACAGGATGATATACCAGGCCAGCTGTACGGCGGGTTTCGATCTCCCGGATGTGCAGTTCACGTACCAATCCTGGCCGCCGGATATGCGAGGTCCTTCGTCGGGCGGGGTGACAGTAAGCATAGAGCTATGGTTGGTGACCGTTTGAAACGACGGCGATTCGGCGGACACTTCGCACCGATATTTGCCGCTACTTGCCAGTTCCAGGGGCCTTAGAACCACGCTTTCCGCCGTGGATTGCTTCTCGTCGACGTGCACTCCCGTAACGTCGAAAACTTGTACTTCCGGCGATTCCCCGGGCAGGAATCTATAAAATTCGTTGCCGTTTTTGTACCATTTGACCGTGTACAGTTTTTCACCCTGTAGGTCATATTTGCACTGAAGTCTGTTGCTATGTCCCACGAGAGTATATTCTTCGATTCTGAGCTCCGTGATTCTCAGGCAATACGCGTAGTAGACGATCAGGTTAAGTGTCCACAGCACTTGCAGTTGTAGGCATCGAGACATGTTTATTACACTATTAAAGCTTCACAATCAAGCTAAGTTTTGTATATATAAAGATTCAGTGTGATATCGCTCGAGAATTCGTAAATTTAAAGTTGTTATCATTTTAAAAACCCGCCACTGGAGTATTGATAAACAAAAGATAAGAGAAGATGTGTTATACCGTGTTTATCTCGTTTTTGATGATAAGGACGTGGTGTATGTGCCAAGCTAATAGCTAAGTGGTACACCCACGACCCATACACTAATACACACAGATGTACAGACACGCACATAGACACTCAAACTTATGCTCGTTATACAGTCAGGAAGAATTGAAGAGATTATGATTTTAAAAAATATTATAATATTGCATATGATTGCATACCAGTTAAGAGATACGATCTTTTAGGAATTTTTAGGCAATCTACCTGTGGTAAATCTCTAAATCCCCGTTTGAGCACATCCTCTGGTTGGACCTAGGGAGATGATTTGTAGCCTATGTGTTATTATTTATACTTCAGACATTTTGCTATTAAATTATTATGTGCAATGTGCGTATGTACTTAAAATATTTTGGAAGAAATCATTTTTTGAACATACAAAAACGGTAGATTTTACTAATAAACGGTAATTTTACCATCTACTTTTTGAACATAACGCTATAATAGACCGAAAAATGGGGTGAAAATTACGATATTTTGGTTGGTCATAAAAAATATTTTTTCGTAGTAATTAAAAAAATAAAATAAATATAGTACACTGACGAATTTTATATTTATTTTTCCGTCACAAATCGGTTTATCAGGAAAATATAATTTCATAAAATTTGGGTAAAAATTAAAGGGTAAATAGACTTATGCGACTCCGAAGGGGTCGGTACCCCTGCCCCTCCCCACAGGTTTGCTATTTAAGCCCCGGGGGGTTTAGGGGCCGAGCCCCCATCCAGCGAGAGGTCCACAGGACCTCGAGTTTGGCGACCGGAGCCGGCAGCTTATTAAACGGTCGAATCGATCTTAAAGTGTCACAAAATACTGCTAAATCTTAAACAAAATAGTATAGTCAAAACAATATGTTTAATTATTTCTGTGAAACCCGCATATTTACTAATAAACTACTAGGAATTTAAATTTAAATTTAATAGTTTATATTCTAGGTATGTAACTATTTATTATTACATATACAGGTATACACATTTTCTATTTATTGATTTATTATAATAATTAGGCTCGTTAATACAATCTCTGGGTGCGTTTGGAGGTGATCTGGATAATATTATGTTCATTCATAGTTCAACTGTGAACACGAACTTAAAAATGAACAATTCTAATATAGTAGTTTTAAAAATGCTATCTAATATGTCCCCCATAGATGAAAGAATAAAAGCAGAATATTGTATTGAGATGCCCGGAAAACTATTGTGCAATACCAAATATTGGATTGAGCACATACACCATGTAATGGTCAATGTTGAAGGTACCTATGTATTATATGTATACTATGTAAAAATCTTAATGTTAGACATATAGCCATATAGGTAGACAACATTTTGGGGATTCTTCAATCTTGTATTTAATTTTGAAAACTTAGATTTAAAAAGAAAAAAAATTATGAATTTTTAACTTAAAATAATTTGCAAAGTTTTGTCATTTTTAAGAACTTTGTCGATATTTTAACTTGAAATGCTTATAAAAAAAAATTGTGACTATAGATTTTTAATATTTTTCATCTACCTTTGAAACAATATATAAGGAGCCTTCCATTAAATTTACAAGCTTTGTAGCAAACAAATAAAATTTTATTAATATTAAAAGAAAAAAAACTGAAAATGTCTGTAAACAGCTCAAAACAAGTCAAAATATTTTGAAAATTTGACCGTGTATTTGGTATGTCATAAGTGTGTAAAACGAATACAACAAATACATGGATAGTGTCCTCTTAAGAGTTGAGTATTTATTTTATTTTATTTATTTTATTTTAGCCGAATGCACACTCACCACGAAAATAAGAATCACCGGAAAAAATCGAGATTGTAAAGAGGTTATATTTAAATTGTTAAACTATGGTCAATAAATAAAGGAAATATTTATTATCTATGTGTTATACCGTGTTTATCTCGTTTTATTGACATTCGTAGACAGCTTTTAACATAACATTAGCATACAGTGTTGGTGGGGTCGAGTCTATAGAATTGTACCTAGGTAGGTACTTCAATAATTCGTTAATACATCATTTTTCCTATGAACGATTAAATAAATTTTAAATATTATTTCGTTTTCTGGTTATTTTAGGAGTGTATACATGCTTATACTTACTCGGGCATAAAAAAATACGCGTAAGTACAACTTATAACTTATCAAATCGAAGAAAGTTACGGTACTTTCAAATATAATAGATTTTTTTTTAAATAATGGTGTTTCATCTATTATAAGTCTTAGGTATAACCAGTCTTTTGGTAAGCCTTTTAGTACAAATTATAAAATATATAAAACAAATAAAAGGTACTTAGGTAACGCAAATGTAATTTAAATAAAAATATTTGAAGTAACAAGTAACGTAATTTTATTACTTTTACCACATTCATAATATGATTAATTCATTATATTATAATCAGTTGCAGTAAGCCCAAGATTCAACGCATGTACCATAATTATTAACAAAATAATTAGCAAAATCAACAGTGTCATCATTAGCCGACAATTGGTTTATAGCTTCTTCAAAAATTATTTCAAAGGCTTTTGGATCTTGTTCATGAAGTAAAGTCCTCAAAAGTTTGCATGTTTCACATTGCTTATCTTTAGATTTGATTTTAACCAAATTTTTTTTCCAGGTACGATCAACATGCCAAGTGCAGTATAATCTATGTTTTGGACGTTTCATTTCAACAATCCATGCATTGAAAAAATTTTCAGCCATATCGGACATGAATACATTGGGCTGCAATTGTCCTGTTAATGATTTTATTTAGAATAAAATATTGTCAGTACTGCCTCATTGATACGATTACTAATCATAAAGGCACATGGAAAACCTTCTCTCATATCGTCAAGTACTAAGAGTGTTGTTAAATTAAAGTGATAGGAATTCATACCATGAGTTTCATCTATACAAATTACATCATGTCCATATTTTTCTAACATAGATTGTTGATAATTATTCATTATAATTAACAAGAAATCATCTTTTTTTAAGTTTGGAAATTGTAAATCTAACTTGTCTTGTTGCTTATAGTATATAACGCTAAATTTGTCATTTTTTTTTTAAATCTTGAACCCAACTTTCAACACTTATTGCATCATTTGCATGTAATATAGCTTTATTGTTTAGATTATAAGATGTTTGAATATTATGTAAATTTTTCTTTGTTAAGAGATGTATTCTTTCTAAAGAATTATTTGAAATATTATCACGTATTTCATCTAAAATATGTTCAAAAGGTATATTCTAAGACATCTTACTTGCTATGTTATCCCGAACATCCTTATTTAATGGTAAATGTCCTAAATCATTAACATGGCCTGTATGATTTGCTATAAACTTAATTGTACATTTTTACTTAATTTACATATAGTAACATCAATACGAGATGTGCAGTATCCATTAATTTTATTCGAACCTTGTGTTTTTAAATGCTTCAGACCCGTACCTTTTGAAGTATAATTTCCATTCCTATGGCATTTTAGTATATAAATGTTTTATTACTATGATCATTATCAATAGATCCACAATTTTTTATGTAACATGATTTGGATTTATGTTCCATTTCATTTTTCCATAAATTAAAATTTTTTCAATATTTTCGAATTCAAGACATTCTATGGGATACATCAAATCAGGTTTAACTATTTCAATTGAATGGGCTTTATGTTCATTGAGATTTTTGATATGGCAAAATGATTTGTCACATTCGCTACAGGAGAACATGTATAATACCTTGTTTTTTATTCTTTTGGTTGGTGCTATACTGTCCTTATCATTTAAGGGATGTTTTTTTTTAATATGAGCTCTAAGATTTATTAAGAACTTAAATTGATTTCCACACTCAGTACAAATAACTGTATTTTCAGACTAACGGACATTCGATCGAGCCACCGCGTAGACAGTAGGTCGTGACCGTGAAATCGCGTAGTTTCCACTTTCCACCCACAATTTCATAGTGTAAGCTCCGCCGCCGTCAACGACGCCGTAATAGAGTACGCGCCACCGATGAAGTAAACAAAAAAAACGTAAATACGGGATATTATAGTGTATAATAATACACACGAAAATCATATACTACGTATATTACGTGTACTACCATAATCACCGGTATTCACGTAAAAACAGAATAATTTATCGAAACCCAATAATAATTATTGGTCTCCGCGCCAGTTGTTTCGGGGCATAGAACTTCATATCTGAACATTGCAATCGAAAAGGATAGTCGTAATTTATAGAGGAGTACGCGATCAATCAACACACCAACTTGCGAAACATTTCAACATCGAAAACAATCATCTCCACAATGGACGGGATGTTAGTAAATATACATCGATCCTCGTGAGTTAAAATAATTATTTTTTATTATATATATCATATTACTATAATTGTTATACTATTATATTAACTTTGTCTGTCTTTTCTTTGCCTGTGAGTAATGATTGCCTATTTGTAACTGCTATTCTATTGCTTATTAATAAAAAAAAAAGGGGGGGGGGGTTAATGAATAATTCTAAGGACGAAAATAATTCATTAGAGAAACATAACAATTCTACTTCTGTTAGTCTCTTCAACCTCCTATTCCAACTTCACGGACTAGCTTAACTGTTAGGTATTCGAATCCTAAGGACCCTACTTCTGAGAGGGAATTAACACAAACAATTTATTAGTTAACGTATCTAATAAACTACAAAAAGTAGATAAGAGTATAAACAAAGTCGTCACAAAGACAACCCTTTTGAATACAGAAAATCGATCACAAAAAAAAATTCGGGACAAATAAAGGACTACGAAGGCACAACAAATTCAGAACAACAAAAACTAGAGGAGAGTTACTCAAGAAATCGAATTGATTTTACCAAAGATCAACTTAAACGCGATTAATCGAACATGGCAAACGAACCGGGAACTCAACACGAGGAAACCGGAAACAGGAAACTGTCACAGATCATTAACCAAAAGGTACAAGAGGTACTCACGATTCGAAATGTCCCTCAGACAGTATAGGCGATGTTCAGCAACTGGATAGGACTACAAGAAGCAGTAATAGCACTAATCATGCTATTGCCAAAATCGCTTGATGGTGAGAACACCGAGCAAGTGAAAGTATTCCTGGAGAAATGTGACTTTGCTGTATCTTGTACGAGGCTTACAGCTATTCCACGGTTGGTATAAGCAATTCAAACCAGATTGACAGAAAAGGCCCAACAGGTAGTAAAGTATCAGAACTTTGAGTCTTGATAAGAATTAAGGGATCTTCTAAAATCAAATTTTTAACCCCAAAGAACCATCCAACACTTTTATCAGTCTTTATATGCTACAAAACTAAAAACGGGAATGGATATATTAACTTATTCCAAGGAAGTAGATACCCTTCAAAATACAATTATTGAACAAGGAACATTGGGATGAAAAATCGAGGTAGCACAAAAACTCTAGAGAACAATAAAAAGACAAGCCCTACAGGTATTCATTGAAGGTTTAGGAGATTTAAAAAATTATATAAAAGCCAGACATCCAGATTCTCTTTTCAACGCCATTCAAGCGGCTCGGGAAGAAGAAATAGTAAGAAAATCATCAGAGGAATCCAGAAATTTGTATAAGCCAGCAGCGACTTCAAAAACCCAACCAGGAGTATGTAATGTTTGCAAAAAACCTGGGCAGTGGGCACGAGATTGACGATATGCAAAAGTAGACAATAAGAAAACCAAACAGAATACTATTTCAGCACCAGCCGCTACAGTTAGCACGGTGACCTACCAGTATTGTAAGAAGCCCGGGCATACGAAAGAGGTGTGCCGAAAATTGAAGTATGTACAATCCAAAAGTAATTATGCTGACAATAAACAAACGGAAAACTCCCAACAACCGGGCCTTCCGGCGGACGCCTGGTAAGGAATATCAAAAGCTCCGCGATATCTTTTGCAGAGCATATCCAATAATTTCTAAATTGACAGATCATCACTTAACATGCAGAACATTCCAGACCATCAATCCGAACGTAAAATTCCTAGTAGATTCCGGGAGTGATTTAAATTTGATCAAAATTAGTATACTCAGAGACGAAGAGATAGTAAATGAAGAAATTATCTATCATTTAAGAGGCATTACTATCGGGATACAAGTTGGATATCGCACTATATCTACAAAATGTCAGGTAATACGTCTAGCTTTCCCGATACCCCATGATAGAATTCTCGGAAAACCTTTTATAACTGGGAACCAGACTATTATAAATTATCAGACAAACGAACTTACTCTACCCACAGAGGACGAAATTATCTCTGCACATAACACACGCACCATCATTCCAGAACGTACTGAAATTTTAGTAGCTATTCCAGCCCCAGATTTTCATGAAGGGGAAACGATTTTAGTCTCTGCAGAGACTTGCTGACGTGTTAATGTGTAGTAATGGAGTAATGTGGTAATGGAGACATATATCCACTTCCGAACATAACAAATATATTAGACCAATTAGGAAAATCTAGGTATTACACTACTTTAGATTTGGCCGAAGGTTACCACCAAGTGATGCATAGAGATCATAAGGAAAGGACAGAATTTTCCACCTAGAGAGGACACTTTGAATTCCAACGTGTCCCATTCGGATTAAAAGGAGCACCCTCCACATTCCAGAAACTGATGAATACAGTTTTAACAGGGTTAAATGGATTAAAAACATTTGTATATCTAGACGATATCATAATATATGCTCGAGATATCCAAGACCATTCGAAAGAATTTCAAGAAGTTTTTGAAATATTAAGGCAGTTCAATCTGAAACTTCAACCAACAAAATGTGAATTCGTGAGGAAAGATGTGAATTATTTAGAACATGAAATTACAGACCAGGGAGTGAGCCCAAATCCACAGAAAGTTCAATGTGTAATGGATTACACAATCCCAAAGAAGATCATGGATATAAAATCTTTCCTTGCCTTATCGGGATATGACAGAAGATTCATAAATGATTACGGGAAAATTGTGAAACCACTCACTTCATTATTAAAAAAATACGTTGAGTGTAAGGGGTCCAATTTATGTGAAAAAGCTTTTGAAGATTTATAAAATGTCCCCACTAATGAACCTCCGTTACATTATCCCGATTTTAACAAAACATTCAACCTCACAATTACGCAATAGGAGGTGTGTTATCACAAGGCTCAATTGGAAAAGATCTCCCAATTGCATATGCCACACGAACATTGAATAAGGCAGAGCAAAACTATAGCACAACAGGAAAGGAGTTGTGCGCAATAATCTGTGAAGTTAAACAATTCGACCAAATTTACTGGACCAGGAATTCAACATTATCACTGATCACCGAGCATTAACTTGGCTTTACAATGTCAAGGATCCTGGGTCACGATTGACCCGATGGAAGCTTAAACTAGAGAAATATCAGTATCAGATTCAATATAAGCCAGGATGTAACAATACAAATTCCGATGCATTGAGCAGAATCAGAGTCACAAGTAGAGCACAAACATTGAGAAATGGAAAAAACCCAGAATCTTCAGAGAATACAGAATCTACAAAAATTCAGAAACCTACAAATACTACAGAATCTACAGAGAATCCAAAATCTACAGGTTCTACAGAATTTTACTAGACTTCAGAATCTTCATACACTTTAGAATCATCAAATAAAACAGAATCGTATCAGATAATTTTAAATTCAGATGACTCACCTACAACTAATGTTACTGAGATAG